ACATGATCTGTGCCTCTTCTGGAAATTCAACCCTGTACCAGGCTCTCCAGCTAAGTGCAGGTTTACATCTTTGCAGCTCTGGGGTATCCTGTTTCTGTGGCCAGAAGACTAACCTCAAAAATGTGCTGGGAGCTGCAAGAACCTGTAAACATTTCTGGCCATAGGCTGGGTCTATTTTATATGGCTTGCTAGAGGATAATGTGCGGGGGATGAACAATGCTTGGTAGTGCAAAAGTGCACTTACACTTCTTCAGCCCACTCAGAGTGTATGAAATACCAAACTATTGGTAGTAGAAATTGGAAATATTCAATGTCAGTTATGTCTGCTCCTGCTCTTTTATCAGCCACTGCCATTTTTCAGCCCAATCTTGAAATTCTACTGGCGTGTAGGCACTCTAAGAAATTCCTTTCAAATGACTTGTAATTACCCTTATAGTTGTTGGGCATTTATGTTTCATTGAATATATTGTTTTGATGAATCAAATGAAGGCTATTACATCTGCATGCATACAGATACAGAGAGAAAAACTAACAGTGTCCACTGAATTTAAACCTGTCTAAGAAGGAGGCATGACTCCCAAGCCCTTTTATAAATGCTTAATACCCTCCTGCCTTAATACCTAAAGGCTAAGTTCACCTCTTTGGGCAGAATTTCACTTCACAGTCTTCACAATCTCACTTCACAAAGTGTTTATCTCTTACTTACCTCCTCCATTCAGTGTGAATGTTGTTCATTGACATGGATTGTACAGACATGGGTGGGGGCAATCTCCTAGAGGGAGACACAAAGTACAGCGGATGACCAAGAGACTGCAGACAGTACAGGGGATGACCAGAGACTGCAGACTGTACAGAAGATGACCAGAGACTGCAGACAGTACAGGACATGACCAGAGACTGCAGACAGTACAGGGGATGACCAGAGACTGCAGACAGTACAGGAGATGACCAGAGACTGTGGACCTTTGGGGAGGGAGGGGGAGTGGGTACCTGAATTTGACAGGTACCCGCTCCCACTTCCGGGGAGTTGTCCTCCCTTTAGTGTGGGCACCCAGCTGTGATAGTCAGGTGCCCACTGCGCATGCGCGAGAAGCTCTGCGCTTTGTGAATGGCCCGGCGTCTTCTGGGACACAAGACAGATCCCAGAAGATGCCGGGCCTCTCATAAAGTGCAATGCTTCTCGCGCATGCGCAGTGGGCACCTGGCTCTCACAGCCGGGTTCCCACACTAAAGATGCTGGCGCGGGAAGACTGTACAGCACTGGACCAAGGAACAAGCAAGGTCCTGCTGTGTAGAAGAGCTGAGCGGCCGACCCAGTATTCTGACAAGGTGTCGGCGGCGGAAATACAGGACCAGCAGCTCCATATTTGCTCCATAAGACGCACTGACATTTTCCCCCTTTTTCGGGGGAAAAAAAGTGTGTCTTATGGAGCAAAAAATACGGTAGTTACACCAGCAACCCTGTGCGGATACTGCAAATCTTCTGCAAACACCTAGCCCATTTGTACTCCCAAACGGAAGCCTTTGACCAGTCTCGTGCAGAGAGTCTTCTCGCTCACCTCACCCTCCCAAAATTGACCAACCAACATCAGGAAACTCTCGAGAAGCCGATCTCACAAGTGGAAATATTAAATGCTATTAAGACCCTGAAGTCGCGTAAGCGTCCTGGCCCAGATGGATTCTCCGCTGCCTATTATAAGAAATTTGCCCACCTTCTCTCCCCTATGCTAGCAAACGCCTTTAATGTTTTCTTAGCCGGCCAGTTCTTTAAAGCTGAAAACTTGACAGCCACTATCACAATGATCCCAAAACCTAACACAGATGACTCCACTTGGTCTAACTATAGACCTATTTCTCTTCTCAATATCGACATTAAACTTTTTTTGAAGATTCTTTCCACACATCTTAACCCAATCATTGGCTCCCTTGTCCACAATGATCAAGTGTGCTTTATCCCCACACGCCAAGCTGGCCATAATATTAGACGCGCGGTCCTTCTCGCTCACTTAGCCTGTACTCACAACATCCCCACCTGCTACCTGTCGTTAGATATTAGGAAGGTGTTCGACACAGTCCCATGGGCCTACCTCAGCTTTATCCTACAACGATGGGGCTTTGGGACCCATTTCATGTCATAGATCTCCTCACTATATTGTGACCTGTCAGCTAGTATTCACTACATGGGACATAAATTGGCCTCTTTCCCAATTTTGCGAGGCATCCGTTTAAGAGAGCCCACTCTCGCCGTTGCTTTTCACTCTAGCTATAGAGCCTCTCACCCTCCTAATAAGAGCCAATCCCAACATACGAGGACTCCCTTTTTCCTCTGACCTCCCCACTAACCTCAACTCCTAATTTACTCCGGCTCCTCCAAGATTTGGGCCACGTCTCCGGCCTTCAAGTCAATCCCCAAAAGTTGACGATATTAAACATTTTCCTACCCCTTCATGAGTTGGCTCATCTACAACAGGTTCTACCATTCTCCTGGTTGGATCTTTATCGGCCAATTACCTTCCTATGCTAGCCCATCTCACTAGCCTCATGACTAATTGGTCTTCCTTGCCAGTGGCTTGGTTGAGTGGGATCACGGTAGTAAAAATGTCTATCCTGCCTAAGATACTGTATTTATTTAGAGTTTTACCCATCCTAGTGCCAGGGCATTTTCTCCGCATTTTACAACGACGAGCTTACACATATGTTTGGGGCCCCATCCATCCTTGTATTAATTGTTCCATCATACACAAATCTAAACCTATGGGTGGCCTAGGTCTCCCCGACCTTGCTAAATACTACCATGCAGTACACCTTGCACAACTGCCTAAGTATCACGTGACTTCCAAAATTCCTCAATGGGTCACTCTTGAGTCTGTCGATTGTGACCCCCTCTCAGTTACTAATCTTTTATGGGTCCGGCCTTCGGACTGTCGGATACTCCAGAATACAGTCACTTCCCACTTCATGTCGCTTTGGGATACACTAAAATCCTGATATTCCCTCCAGTCACCATATAATCCCCTACTCTCATACCTCCGAAACCCGGCCTTCCTTCCTGCCTGGTCCTCCCCTCGATCCTTCTCACAATGGTCCTCGGAGAACCTTGCCCACCAATTTTTGACTAATACCAGGATTAAATCCTTTCCTTCTCTTTGTGAATCACACTCCCTGCCAGTGTCCGAAATTTTCAGATACCTTCAACTCAAACACTTTTTTGCTCCTCTGTCTGCTAAATCCCCCTCTGCTCGATCCATGAACTTCTTCGAGCACGCTTGCAAAAGAGACCCTATAGGCGAGGTCTTATTTTATCACTCTATGCACTTCTTTTATCCTCTGAACCCTTCCGTAGCCCTACCTATGTCACTAAGTGGGATGAAGACCTTGGATATCAGCTGGGCCCTGCTGATTGGGACCAAATTTGGCTAGCAACCAAATCCTGTTTGCAGAACATAGTAGCGGTTGAGACCAATGCAAGGTCTCGACCCGCTGGTACTTGGTCCTGGCAAGGATTGCTAAATATACCCCCAGTTGTTCTCCCAATTGCTTTTGGGGCTGTGCGATGGTGGGACTGCACTTCTATATTTGGTGGTCGTGTCCAGTCGCCCAAGCTTTTTGGACTGAAATCTTCAACCTTTTATCTTCTCTTTTTGCGAAGCCCCTTTCCTCTAACCCGGCCACTGCTCTACTGAATCTTCAGCCCCGTTCCTTATCTAAACCCCAATTCAAACTCTTTTTACAAGTCACCACAGCAGCCAAACAAATTTTAGCGAAATAATGGAAGTCTCCATCCCTTTGCGTTCTAGCAGTTAGAAATAAGGTGACACAAGCAATGATTCATGCTAAAGTGGAAACGACCATTACAGACTCCCTGGGTGGAACGATACCTTCCTCCTAATTTCGATGAATCATTGCTCCTCCCCTGACAACCTCCAGCCCAGACCTCTGGTCATCCTATGTGCCATCCCTTAGCCTGGTTTGGTTCCGAGATCCTCTCCTTCCTTTTCGGTAGTCACACATTCCCCCCCCTCTCCTCATTCATTCCTCTGGGCCCCCTGCCCTACTACACCTTCCCCCTATTCTGCTCTCATTTAGACTTTTTTTTCCCTTTCCTTTCCTCTTACCTACTCCTATTCTCTTTGTCTATCTTTTTCATCTGCTGCCGTTTTTTCTTTTTATGGAACCCCATATTGCTCACAGGAGCTATGCTCTCGCGACTGGTCATTACTATATTTTGCCTCTCTTTGTAATGCAACATCTTTCCTTGCTTAGATGTGGTTCCTTGTTTCTACTTGGATGATACTTTCATCAGGACTTCTGTCCTAATGGTTCTCCCCCTTCTTGTATGCATTCTGTATGCTCTGTGTTTGTTACTGATTTGGAAAAAACTATAAAATGTTTTTGAACAAGAATGTGACTTAGAACATGATTGCAGGTGATGAAATCAGAACACTCTGTCTGCAAACTGATTCTTTGTTTAGACTCAACCCCCTCCCCCCCCCCCCCAAAAAAAGCTGGAGTTGTACTTTTCTAAAGATTATTCTGAATTTTCATGTGACCCTTTAAAGCTGAATTCCAGGAAACCTAAAACTCTTCTCTTGCAGTGGGGCTGCACCCAAACTGCAAGGGCTAACTGCTTGTTTATGTCTAGGTGACTTAATAAAGCAGTTTTACTTACCTGATCCTTCACTCCTGCAGTCTCATTTGTGCTGCTAGACTGGTTCCCGCAGCCTCTTCTCCCCTATACCCTGGCGGTCTAAGGTCCTCTGATGTCATCCAGACCCCTGCCCTGGATGTGAATTTGCCAAGCGACAGTTCTTTGCTGGGGCATAGGGAATTGCTGGGTGCTGGAAAAGCAGGGTCTGGGTAAGTACAAACAGTTTTTCTGTCTGGTACAGAGCCACTACAATGGAGGGTTTTATGTTTCTGGAGTTTATCTTTTATTACAGAGACATGATTACTGGTAATATAACCACGTAGAAAATTTACTTTTTTTTTTATCTTTGCAGTTTTATCTTCTCAGTCTGCATCTCAATTTCTTACAAGAAAACGGAGAGCAAATTCCTTTTTTGAAGAAGGTAAACGTGGTGACCTGGAACGGGAATGTATTGAGGAGCTTTGCAACAAGGAAGAAGCTCGGGAAGTATTTGAGAATATCCCTGAAACAGTAAGCTAAGACCATATACTTTGATTTCAGTGTTAATGTTTGGACTTTGCTTATATTTTGCCAACTTATTTGAAAATGCATCCTGTTCTATTTTTTAGAGCACACACCAACATAACACATTGGTGTGACCTGTTGGGAAAAAGACATAAGACAAATTTATATGTCTGTGTGTTGTGACTATGCAGTCCAATTCAGATGGTGTGAATGGACTCTTAAAGTGCATCTAAACCTAAGAACAAAAATCTTCCTGGTAGAAATCTCAAATAATGTTATCAGCTTTCCCAGGTATCTCCTGTGAACTACAAAACTTCACAGACGAAAGTGTACGCCTAGGCTGATTTCCCCTGGAGGTAGACCAATGGTGCTCCAAAGCTAGAGAATGTCTTCCTGGTACTTTAAACAGCATGCGAGTATAAGGTGAAGAGCCGGCAACTCATTCTCCTGATAAAAGTACTTTATTCATAAAGGGTACAGTATGCAAGTTAAAGCAGCTTATGCGTTTTGGTAAAAGACCTTATTCATATGAATAAGGTTTTTTACTGAAACATGTAAGCTGCTGTAACTTGTACAATGTACCCTTTATGAATAAAGTACTTTTATCAGGAGAATGAGTTGCCGGCTCTTCACCTTATACTCCCAACTACAAAACTTCTCCTCCCTTTCTCATGGAGATGAGAGGAAGGTATTTGTAGCCCAAACTAAGAGATCAGCCTAGGGTGACAATGTTGCTCCTCTATAAACACAGTACAGTGAGTAAATGTTATCACTCTAGGACAGGAAGTATGTTCCTGGGAGGATCAACAGGTGAAAAATAAAGGAGAAAAGCCAGAAAAAGGAAAACTAATGGAGTCACCACAACTATGGACTGATAAGCTGCAATAAATGATATTTTTGTTTTTGAATTTAGATATGCTTTAAAGAGACTGCCACTTTGCCCTGAATGGGTAAGGTCTCTTCAACCCCTTCCCTTCACCTCCTGGCCCTTTAAATGGGTCTTAATGCCAGACCCAACACTGTAATTTGCTCTCACAGCAGTTACATGTTCAGGAAGTCCACCCTGACAGCTTCCCATCACAAACAGAGAATGAGAGGGTGACGATCGCGGCGTCAGACCCCAGCCCTTCTCACCAAACTCGTGACCGAAGGACTAGCCAATCTAAAACCGCGCTGCCACGTGCGTAACAATGCCCCGCCCAGCTGCACCCTGCACAAAGATTTTCCAGCTAATGCACCACAACCTGTGTGCCGGCAGCCTGGGAGCGATAGTTACTGGGTCAGGTTAATTACGCAATTAACCCTTCACACTGCCACCACCTCCTTTTTGTACAGAGAAAGAGGAAACTCGGCAATATGAGCAATAACACTATGATGTTTGCATAAGCGTCGGTATACCACTGTCACCGCAGGCAGCGATATACCGAAGTTTAAAACACACACAGTAGCGCTTTTCAGAGGCAGGGGTTCTTTAGTTTGCATTAAAGAACTTTAGAAACAGTTCAACACTTTCAGAAAGTAAAATTTATTACTAAAAGGTCAAAAGGGTGCAATAAAAATATTTACAGAAAAAGATGTAGCCAATATATATAAAATATACAGAGAACAATAGCACAGCAAAGAGATAACAGAAAGGAATTTAGATAAAGTACTTGCCGTCAGCCTGGGTTAAGCAGATCAGGTTTCAGAGCAAAAGGGTCGTCTCCCAGAGTTGGTTCCAATGTTACAAGGGAGAATCTTCAACTTAGCTCAACTCAGCTTAGCTTACCTTCAAGCATCACAGCCTTTATCTAGGAACTCAGCAGGGTGTCTCCCTGAAGCAGAGAACCAATCCCCTCATTTGGGCGGGTGTGGCAGGCGGAGACCCAAGCTATGACCAAAAATCCCTCCTAGCTTATATTATGGTTCATAACTTACCCTGGATACATATAACATTCTATCCACGAGTAGATTATATGTATCCAGAATCATCTGCTGAACGTCTGCATATGAAATATGAGGTACCTGCTGGGATGGTTAAGGAGATATTATTTTCTGCTCTCCTGTTGATCTCAGCTAGGGGATGTAATATACCAAACAATTTGTATTAAAGTGAGCCGTCCGAATATGTGCTCCATGTTTATGTAGTTATGTCCTATTTGAAGATATAAAATTATATGGAAAAGTGAGTTTTTAAATGTAGGTCTCTTTTTACGACTACCTGGAATGTCTTTGAGGCTCCGTGAGGGCTTGGTTTATGGTTTTACGATCCCTTCTCCAGCAAGAGTCTCGCAGACGTAGGGGCACCAGCTAGTGAGGTTTATAGCCATGACGCTCTCCCAATGAGTTTGCTACCTGTGATCTCTGTCATCATTCAGACCACATGTCACTGAACAGAGAGGGAGGGAGGATATCGGAGGAATCTGATTTGGGAGAGAGAGATACAAAATGGAGGGGTTTGGAGCAAAATGGATGACCGCGTCCATCTCTGTGTGCATGATTGCTACAGAGAGGTGTCAGTGACTGCTCGGTCAGTGTGCTGGAAGTATGCAGTAAGCACACTTTCAGAACAAAAACCTCTGCCCCTCAAAAGACACAAATGTACAGCAGCTGAATATTAAGGTCCACCCATAATGCATATATGCATTAATGCAGAGTGAAGAGGTTAAGCTAATTCAACTTTGTTTTACTGGACCCCAAGTGTGATTTGTACTGTTGTTAGTGTAGAACTGAAGCCAGACCTTCTTCATTGATTTTAGATAGAGTAGGGAAAGATCAGAACCTCTACAGTGTTTTAGTCTGTAATCTGTGGGTAGATTTTCCCATCAGTCCCAGTTTTACCTCCAGGACAGGTATTGCTACCCATATACCCTTGGAGAAATGTCCTTTCAGTTTCTATTGTGCCCCCTGGAGATTATATGTAATGAAAAATCTCCTTTCATGTTGTGAGAGCCGCCTGTCTGCTGGCCATTTCTTTCCACAACTTCCTGGATTCCCTACATGCTTTCCAGCTTCTCCTCTGCTGCCTTACATCTGAATCAGCAATATTTCCCCTTACATCTGAATCGCCAGAATTTCCCTTTACAACTGAATCCGCAGAGTTTCTCCTTACAACTGAATCCGCAGAGTTTCCCCTTGGATCTGAGTCTGCAGAGTTTCCCCTTAGATCTGAATCTGCAGAGTTCACCTTCTGTTACTCCTCTTCTAAGCACCTCTGTAGTTCCGAAGGTAGGCTCTGTGAAATGTGTGACACAGCGGTGCCTACTCACAGGACATAGTGAATATGTGTCAGAGAATTCAAGGAAGTAAATGAGTGGGGATCTTCACAAAGTAAGCTTACTAACTACAAGATCATTCAGTTGAAAAAGGATTTTGTATATAGGCAGGATTTTTGAGACACAAACTCACATAAATATTTATAAAATACAAACAATTTTACTATCAAAGTTTAAGAAGGATCTTTCTTGTTCATAAAACCATAATAGAGAACATTTAAAAACAAAAACTTGTCCCCACTTGCTTGTTTAGAGCAATTACGTATACAACTGTTACATGTGTATATAGCTTGGTGGAGAACGACACCTTTCTTTTACATTAAGATTTTTTGCCCTTGTCAATAGGCTTGACACTTTTCTTGGATAGCATCCACTTCCTCAGGAGCTGACAGGGAGGCGAAGTTGCTCATTCTAAACATAAAACAAAAAGCCTATTGACACAGTCATACAATATTAATGTAAAAGAATGTTACATATTTCACAAAGCCTGCCTTCTGAACTAGAGAGGTACTGAGAAGAAGAGTATCAGGAGGCGAACTCAGCAGAATCAGATCTAAGGGGAAACCCTGCAGATTCTGATACAAATGTAAGGGGAAATTCTGCAAATTCCGATGTAAGGGGAAACTCTGTGGAGTCAGGACAGGTATCAAAGCTCACAGGCAGCAAGGTACTATGGTGGCAGGCTCTGTGAAATATATGACACAGCGGTGCCTACTTACAGGACATAGTGAATGTGTCACAAAATTCAATGAAGTAAATGAGTGGGGATCTTCACAAAGAAAGATTACAAACATTCGGTTGAAAAAGGATTTGTATATAGGCAGGATTTTTGAGGCACAACTGACATGGTGGAGAATACAGCCTTTTTTTTACATTGAACGACCTTGTGAATAGGTTTTTGTTTTATGTTTATAAATGATGAACTTTGCCCCTCAGTTCCTAAGGAAGTGGATGCTATCCAAGAAACGCATCAAGCCTATTGATACTGGCAAAAAATGTTAATGTAAAAGAAAGGTGTTATTCTCCACCAAGTTAAAAACAGTACATGTAACAGTTGTATACGTAATTGCTCTAAACAAGTGGGGGCAATTTTTTGTTTGGAATCTCTATTATGGTTTTATGAACAAGAAATATTTTTTTTACACTTTAATAAAATTATTTGTATTTTATGAATATTTATGTGAGTTGTGCCTCAAAAATCCTGCCTATATACAAAATCCTTTTTCATCTGATCATCTACTTGCAGACCAGCTCTTGAAGATATACTGCTACAGGATGGTTGCTGTGCACTGGATTACACACACACACACACACACACACACACACACACACACACATTATATATATATATATATAAAAATATATATAAATATATATATACGGTGGAAGGTGTATGACCTAAAAGCGATTCTAACCATTTATAACTTTATGGTCCAACATATTTGTTAAGAGGCCTCTATCATTGATTACTCACAGTGGTGGAATACACAGAAGCATATCTATATGGATGGAAGAATAACATGTTCATTTTTTGTGCACTGGATTAATTTAATCACTTGGAATATGATGGACTTTACTTTTTGAGCATATATGGACTTTATATATAACCTATGTAATATATTAAGATTGCTTATTTAGCGCAGCTTGCTCTTTCTTTATGTACTTGGTAATTGATATCACAATTTTATAGTAGTTGCTGTTATAGGTTTTTGATCGAGCATTGATTTTAATTTGGCTAGTTGAGATTTTATATATATATATACACATACATACACATGATCCAGCATTTCCAGGTAGGGGGCGTGCGCGTATGCTGCCCCATATAAAGTATATGTGCTGTCATTCGTTACAGTAAAAACGATTTATGGCTGGGACCACTGATCAGCTGAGTGAATGACAGTGCTCTGTACAGACAGCAGTGATGTTTCTGTTTTTTTCTCCCTGCAAAGCAGGGAGTAAAAACAGGCACATTGCTTAGTAAAAACAGCACATACACACAGTACACATTGTTAGGCACACAGATAGCCCATTGATTGCCCTTAGATGTTAACTCCTTCCCAGCAAGCATCATAAGTACAGCGATAGTGTATAGTACTATCACTGAACACTGTATTAATGTCACTGGAGATGTCAGTAGCAGTCAGTTCCCACAAAGTGTCAGTTAGTGTCAGATTGCCCACTGCATGTCACAGCCCCACTATAAATACATAAATCCCAGTATATATACCATAGTTTTTAGATGCTACAGCTTTCACACAAACCAATTATTATACACTTATTGGAATTTCTTTTACTGAAGACATGTAGCAGAATATATTTAGGTCTAAATTTATGAAAATGTTTTATTTTTTTTAATGTTTTGATTGGATGTGTTTTATAGCAGATAGTAAAAATTATTGTTTTTATTTCCAATTTTTGATATTTTTCCATTTGTATAATAAAAAATAAAAACCCAGTGATTATCAAATGCCACCAAAAGAAAATTCTATTTGTGTTAAAAGATATTATCAAATTCATTAGGGTACAGTGCTGCATGACCGCACAATTACCAGTTACCAGTTAAAGTAGCACAGTGCTAAATAGCAAAACAATTACCTGGTTATGAAGGGGGGGTGGTACATCAGAGCCGACATTATGAGACTTTTCAAGCTCATCCAGATTAATAGGAGTAGGCTTGAAATAATTGAAATACAACATGGAAATTAATGTATGATTTTACATTTAGACTATAGATAAGCTTTAATCCTTAAAAAAAATAATTATTTTTTTATTTTTCTAGGAATACTTTTACCCAAGATATTTAGGTGAGTAAATATAAATATTGGTAGTCAATTTAGAAATATCTGTTTGGCTTGTTACAGAATATGTGCTCATGAGCACCTGGATTCCTAGCAAACATTTAAATGCATTCATGTGAACTATCTTACCTGAGAAGAGATTTGTGATTCTCTTTATCCAGTCTTTTTATTCAGGCAGCATAGTTAGTTCATCAACCTCCACTATTCTCCACCACAGTAGGACCTGGTTGCTGAGCCACCTTCAGTTTGCTCATTGAACAAGGAAGGAACATCACCACACAGATGAAGCAATTGCTCAATTTTACAATGTGCATAATGGTCTGACCATTAATTGGACAAAGTCACCCATACTCCCTATAGATAACCATCCCTTTATTAGAGAACAATCCTTATTACCATAAAATAGAACTAGTATGACTAAGTATTTGGACATTAACTTTTTTAGGGATCCCGATGATTTTGTTACTACTCAGAGCAAAATTCAGATTTGGTCCAGGTGTCCTTTGAGGGTATCAGACAGAATTAATTTATGTAAAACGATACTCCTTCTGAAAATACTGTATGTTTTTCAGTAATCCTCCATTTACCTTCCCCAGAAACACTGTACATTAATGGATTCCCTTCTGAAAACATTTGTGTGGGGGAATAATAGACACAAGGGGGTTTATTTACTAAAGCTGGAGAGTCCAAAATCAGACTCCCTTCTGCATAGAAACCAATCAGCTTCTAACCTCAGCTTGTTCAATGAAGCTTTGGCAATGAAACCAGGAAGCTGATTGGTTTCTATGCAGAAGGGAGTCTGATTTTGGACTCTCCAGCTTTAGTAAATAAACCCCAAGCTGTCCTGGGCTACTTTGAAACAATCCCTGGCCTTGGGGGGGGGGGGGGGTCTAGCCTTATAGAATAGCCTCACAGTTATCTTACCTTTACCCTTGGCAGGACACAGGGGCACCTAGATTTATTCACCTGCTAAACTCCAATAGCATCCCTGGCCCTACAGATACCCTCGGTGTCATGGCCTCTGGTATGTAGTTATCCAACAATATGTTGTTTCAAAGCCTCAAAATATGGCAATGTCTAACTAAATATCAAAGCTATATAATGCCACATTCCTATTACACATTCATATCTTTGGCTTGAACATGAGTTTATACCACTAGCAAAATTTTAAGCGATTTCAAAAACTCAAGGAAGAGTTCCAACCAGGGGCAGACTGACAACTCATGGGGCCCCTGGGAAATAGGGGATCATGGGGCCCATGTGTCCTTGCCCAAACTCAAAAAAGCCTATGAAAAAGGTACCAGGGGCATCTCATGGGGCCCCCTACTGACCCCGGGCCCTCGGGCAGTGCCCGAGTTTGCAAATGGTCAGTCCGCCCCTGGTTCCAACTGTTCAACTATTTGCCCTTTGTTTTTCCAGCTTCCACATGCAGCCTCCAAATAACTTGGCACCTGTTAATAGCTCTCTCAGACAAGATACGGGTTTCCACCCGAACTGGACCCTCACCTAAGCAATTAATATCCATTGGCTCATAAAATGGCCTATACTAAAAAGTCCCTCTAGTGAGAGTGACCTGGGCCTAATGAACAAAGGGGATTGTGCGGAGGAAACCATAGGCGGATCTCTCTTAAAGTAACTGATAAGCTCATCCAGTTGTTTATTATAAACTGTACCTACCTCACATCTGTATGACTTGCTAAATTTAAACTAACATATAATGCTTTACGTCATAATTGCCTATGGGCTTCCAGTACCTTTGTCATCTACTTTGGTCCTGTCCATAGCTTCAGGCATACTGGAAGCAAATAGCTACTCTTCTGCATGATTTAATTGGATCTCAAGTGACAGTGGACCCCAAGTTATGCCTCATTATGCCTGTTAGGGTTACTTGAACACCTGGAGCTACCATGAAAGCATTTTTATACATAGTGCTTTATTCACTGCCAGGAAACAGATAGCTAAAGCCTAGATACTAATAACCCTACAGTATTTCAAACATTTCTCGTTCTGAAGACCAAAGAAAATTTGGATGGGGTTTTGCTTTAAAAATTACATAAAGATACCACAATTACATTTACATATGCTTTAAACTATTATTGTAATAAAAAAAATACTAATAATATTAAACTTTTCCTTCTGTATTTTACAGCCTGCCTTGGCAGCCATCGTAATGGAAATGCAAATAGGATTGCTTATTCGGATTATGATGGCCCAGCAGACCTAAGATCATGTGTAACTGGTTTGTATATGAATATATATATATATATTTTTAATACAGACAAACTAGAACAATGTCAACATTCAGCAATTCATAGAAACCATAAACCTAAGATTCCTAACTTATGATGTTCTGCTATGGATATTGATTAATACAAAATGTAGAGAAAGCTCATGAAATCATTCAGGATTACTAAGGTTGCCAGTAAAATTTGTGAGAAACAATGGTTAAAGAGTATCTATAGCAAAAACCTTTTAATTTATTTTTTCTTTTATTGGCTAGAGTAGGGACATAAACCATTGTAAGGCTTTTAGTGTCTGTGGAGAGAGAATAATACTGCCTATTTGTCCTGGTGATCATTGTCACTGAGTACAAGAAACTGACACTTTTTATAGATTAGCCCCAGATCTCACCAAGGTCAGCCCCAAATCTCACCAAGGTAACCCTTTGGTTGCTAACAGAAACATACTAATATATACTGTAGTTTTGCAGTTGTCACCAGAACAAGAGGTGACAGGAAAGCTTAGAAATAGAGACACTGATTCTGTGACAACTATCCTATAGCTCTGGATTTGGCATTGAGGAATATCTAGTACAAAAGTTCATAACACTTGGAGGCCTTTTTGAAATGTGTATTGGTTAAGAGCATCAAGTAAATACAACCTGTTTTGGGGGAAACCATGCCAGAAGTTTGTAATGCTGTTAAGATTTGACAATCTTTAGCGAGCCCTAGTACTGGTCTCCTTTGTCTTTTTTATTCTAATTAAATCTACAGCTCCAGCCCTGAGGAAGGGGGAGGCCTTTCCCCTGAAACACATTCGCTTTACTTGATGCCCTGATTCAAATAAACATTTCAAAAAACCTCCTAGCGATGAACTTTTGTACTGGGCACTCCTCAATAACCACCCCAGAGTTTGCCATCCAGCATTCTCTTTGTCGCTGTCAGAGAGGTAGCTCCTTTGAAGGAGGACTCACTCCACTGTGTATCCATCAGAACCAAGCCTCACCTATTGGTCCAATTCTATCACACACACATCAGGAAACTACCTTAGAGTGGAATTTCTCTCACTCCTGTTTCATCTCAGGGACAGAAAGTGAATGGGACACAGATAGAAAAATATAAACTATTAGGGTTTTCTCAGTTAAGCAAACCCACCTACCTGCATGCATGAGCCAAGGGCAGATGGATTCCAGAAAGTAAATTCTACATGAATCACCTGCCTTTACTCAAGATGACCATGGCCAGAACTGCTAAGGGGTGTGTTTAAAGTTATTTTTAAGCATTGAGATGGATGGGGTGGATGGGGGTGTTTGCTTTGAATATTAAAAATGAATTGAATAGCATTTTTGGTTTGGAGTGTTTAGGTGGAGGATAGTTCCCCATGAATGTAATTTGGTAATATCAACCATTACAGGCAGTCTAATAACATAAAAAAAATAACTAATGCAGCCAACACATTTTAGGACTGGTAAGCTTTGACACTTTACATCTTTTTCTTGGGTTTGCATATGGCATAAGTCACCTGAACCCATACCCAATTTACCCTGGGTCATTCTTTTCATAAAATCCAAATAACTGGCATAAAAGTTACTGTATATTGTGCAGAGTTTAGTAACCTATGAACAGCCGATCCAATTTCTCAGTACTACAGCCAATGTAAACGTAGTTTTGATTGGTTGTATATTGTAGTGAATAAAAACTAGTTAGAGGGGGAATATGGAAGATTTGAAAAGGTATGCTGACACACGCACTAGATTACTTGGGTGACTTGAATCCTGTGATGTGAATATTTCGCTAGCAAGGAAGGCCCATTGCACTGGAGAAAACAGTTTTGCTCAGGTGCTATCAACATTCATATTATCATGGCTCACAATTATGCCCAGTGAACACGGATATGTGTACTAAGCCATTTGGAACATACTTTAAGCACCTTCATAGATAGATGGTAGGTTAGGTAAATTTAGTTATTAGCTCACTGTAATTAGTTGAGCTGCATGTGATTATTTCGGTCTGTTCTGTGTTTCCCTGGTTGCAGGGCTGGCTGCTTCCCTGTTTATCTGGAAGAGTTCTAGAAGATAGTGGGCTGGGAGAGTCAAATCAGCAGTTGAATATTTATGCAGCAATAGCCAATCCCTGATGACAGGTGTCCAGATGGTGGCTGGAAGGAGCATAAATAGCCTAGGGCTTGGGAAAAAAAGGGTTCTTGACCTAGAAGAGGAGATCACAGCTTGGAGGGCTGCTGCCCTTCTGGGCAGGCCTGCCACGTGTCTGCTGCTCATCGAGGTCCCAATTCCACTGAAATTAGCTGATTGTGATACTTCCTTTTGTGGATTTGGTCTGATATCAGAGGAGAGATATCTGGAAGAAATCAGAAGGAGGCATCCAATTATCCAAGGACATTAGTGAGTACAGAGCAGTGTGAGAGATCCCAGTGACTGTGTGCTACTACTGTCCCTCTTGTACTAAAATCAGCATTGTTCAAAGGGAACATTGTTCATGGTGTCCTGGTATAGCTCACTCCATTATTTGCTGCTGCAAGGACTGTGCTCAGATCCTTAGAAGGAAGAATAAAGACCTCAACTTACTTATTCAAGTTGCTGTAGTATCCCACAGTTACCTTATACCCATTCAAGTTTAAGTTCTGCAATAAAGCATCAGAAAAGCATATCCCTAGACTGATTACTGAGTCAAAGGAGTGACTGTGTGCCTGACTGTGGGTGCAATGACTGGGAAAGAATCTACGGATCTAAACGTTGGGCTCCTACTGGGATGAGCGCTACAGTACTATACATGCATTCTGATTCACTGGTTAGGGGACATAATCAGGAATCTGAAACACACTCCCAAGGCCTCTTTCATCTGCGGGATCATACCCTCGGAGGGGAGCTGTCAGTCTCTGGAATTACCTGAATAAGAAAGAGAGACCATTAGGGCTCATTCAAACGGGTGCTCATATAGCATGAAGAGTGCTTTGTTTATTTTTCTGTCCTAGCAATGAGCTGCATACAGGCATTAGTGAATGGACATGCGTTGGTTTTGTGCACACAGTTGACTTTGACAGATACGTAGACACAGGTACATAGACATGAATGCACAGGCCCTGCATTGGAGTGAGCGATGCATGCCCATTCACTAATATGGCTGCCTGCACAAAGCTCAGTGCTAATAAACAAAGAGCTCTTCATTCTGTACGGGGCTAAGCCCTTGTGTGAATGAGCCCTTACATAGAACTTTATTTTATTCCCTTTATAAAATTGTTACTTGATAATTATTTAACACATTGTTGTTTTCTGAACAGCGCTTCCAGATCAGTGCAAGCCTTTGCCCTGCCATAAAGAAGGATACAAGGAGTGTATTGATGGAAAAGGGAACTATACCTGTGTGTGCAAACCAGGGTGGCAGGGAGTGCGCTGCGAGGAAGGTGAGTGACTAAACATAGTTCATCAGCAAAGCTGCGTTGAACCAGCTAATGTTTGCTTAGATAGCAGAAAACAACAGAAGAGCAGTTATCATTTGTCATCCTCTGAGTTTTCTATAGGAGTGACTCCTGTCTCTTGAAGTTCTCTGCTGTTTCAGTTTAGATAGCTTGGAGACAATAATTTGTGTAGTGCCATAATCTCTCTAGGCCTGACTATTTTAACTATCTCTATTACTTTTGCCCAGTGTTATCAAAAGGGCATGAGCTGTGACCTTCTAATCTATCCTAAAGCATACACACAGCGGCGTCCCGAAGCAGGTGCAGGGGGTGTGCGTCGCACCAGGTGACACCTACCGCATGGGGTGACACCGGATCCCCTCCACGAAAAAGAAAGTTGTAAAGCAAGCTGACGATCAGCGCCGGATGGATCCGATCCATCCTGTAGGGATCGTCGGCTTTCTTTACAACTTACCTTTTCGAGGAGCGGGTCTGGTGTCACCCCGTATAGGTTGCATGCCCATTATGCTCTCCAATCCGCAGATCTGATCCATCCTGCGGGGATCCTCGGCATGCAACCTATACAGGGACTCCGATTCATTATGCTCAGTCTGCAGATCCGAACCATCCTGTGGGGATCGTCGGCATGCAACCTGTACGGAGTGACACCGGACCCGCTCCACAAAAAGGTAAGTTGTAAAGAAAGCCGACGATCCCCGCAGGATGGATCGGATCTGTGGATTGGGGAGCATAATGGATCGGAGTCTGATCCATTATGCTCAATCCGCAGATCCGATCCATTCTGCGGGGATCATTGGAGGGGGTGTCACTAAGTGTTACCGCACCGGGTGACACCAACCCTAGGGACGCCCCTGCATACACATTCGACCATACGTGTAAAGATTTCCAAAGATTTCAATAGACTTCCGCAGATTCCCCCCGTCCAGGCTGCTGGCTATTGTATTTGACCTACAACTGTCAGAATACCTGAACAGTGACTGCAGTTGATTGGCACCAGTCAATGTTTGTCCAACATTTCCTTCAATTCCTCAATCAAAGTTTGTCAAACCAGGTGGTGTCGACAGGGACACCCATGACTCAAATTTTGGCCACTCTCTACCAGCAACAAAAAGGAAGCCAATCTTCATTATAAAACTCATGTATGTTTATTGAAGTATTCCATGCACATTTGAAGCATTCCAAGCACATCCATCCAAAGCTTATTCATAGAGCCAACATTCAGCAGATTCTCAGGAATCACAAGAAGCTATGTATGGCCAACTTCTCCAGGGCTTCCCCCATCCTCTGGAACTCCTTTCCCAAATCCATCAGACTATCACCTACTCTGCCCACCTTTAGGCGCACTCTGAAAACCTATCTCTTCAGGGAAGCCTACCCCACCCTCAGCTAATTACTGAACTCCTCCACTCTTCCTACCACTCCTGTACCACTATCCCCTCCCTCCTAGATTGTAAGCTCCAAAGAGCAGGGCCCTCTAACCCCTCGTGTATTGAATCGTATTGTTACTGTACTGTCTCGTGTACTGTCTCCCATTATAATGTACAGCGCTGAGCAAACTGTTGGCGCTATATAAATCCTGTATAATAATAATAATAACTTAAAGTGTCTGTAAACCCTTACATACCCAGTGAAGTGATTGGCCTCAGGTGATACACAGAGATGAAGCAAATCTACCTATACAAGCATAGTTGCCAACATTTAAAAGAATATTTTAGGGACATTTTTTTTTTCTATATGTCCAGAAAGACAGTATAGGCAGAGTAGTATGTTAATTAGGGGTGTGGCATTCATTCATGACTGTGGCTTAATCTGAAAAAGAAGATGGCCAAAGACACCAAAAATTTGGGCGTGGTTTAAAATATTCTATATATTGGGCGTGGCTTACAGCTGGTGTGGTTAAACAAAGTCTGAGATCTACTTGGGCTCCCACGATGCAATTTTGCTCTTCACCCCAACATCCCAAAAAAACAAATAAAAACTCACAAAGACTTATGTAAAAAAAAAAACTTTAATAATATAAAAATAAAGAACTGGTCCACACACACTGACTGGTTGCTAGGAGTAGTACAGGAGATAGTCAGAGACTGCAGAGGTAGTACAGGAGATGGTCAGAGACTGCAGGAGTAGTATAGGAGAGGGTCAGAGACTGCAGGATTAGTATAGGAGATGGTCAGAGACTGCAGGAGTAGTACAGGAGAGGGTCAGAGACTGCAGGAGTGGTACAGGAGCAGGTCAGAGACTGCAGGGGTAGTACAGGAGAGGGTCAGAGACTGCAGCCATAGTACAGGTGAGGGTCAGAAACTTCAGGTGAAGCACAGGAGAAGGTCAGAGACTGCAGGTGTCTCCATATAGGATGCCCTCTGCCGCTTTCTCTCGCCCCCCCCCACAAAAAACAAAAACAACACAAAAAAAAACACAAAAAAGAAAGAACATCTGTCATCTACCTGTCTTCTCTGCTGGCTTTGGGCCCTTCGGCTCCTCAGCCCTATGTCTGCTCGGGTCTCTGGCAGCCTCCTGTGTCTGTCCCTGTTCTTCTCTGGTCCGGTCCGCAGTCTGCCAGCCAGGGGCGGACTGACAACTCATGGGGCCCAGGGGCAATAGGGGATCATGGGGCCCCTGTGTCCTTGCCCAAACTCAAAAAAGCCTATGAAAAAGGTACCAGGGGCATCTCATGGGGCCCCCTACTGACCCCCGGCCATCGGGCAGTGCCCGAGTTTCCAAATGGTCAGTCCGCCTCTGCTGCCAGCAGCTGAGAGTCTGTGTCCATCCAGTTCACTGGCCTGTTCAGCAGCATCCTCCTCTTCCTCTCCATGTGCTAACAGGAAATGATCCCCGTCTGCTAGCCACGCCCCCTTGCTAGTAACCAATCATGCAAGAGAATGGCACTACGTGACCTCCTGCAAGCAGAAGAGGCGGGGGGGAGGATCTGACTCCCTGAAAATGATTTGCAGTCTTCTCTTCTCTAGAGCTGAATTGCAGAATGTCTGAGCTTCCACAAAGCAGGGGGTGGGGAGCTGACGTTATACTCTGCAGAGCTCAGTGAGGAGAGCAGATTGGAGGTAAGGGGCCACTCCACTTCACACAGCACACAGGAACAGAGCTGAGGATGTCAATCACAGGCTGTGTGCTGGAGCTCCCTCCCCTCACCTTTTTTTCTTGGTGTCAGGAAAACTTGTCACACGTGGCTTATGCAGATAGCAGAGGAATGAGGCAGCAGACATTAATGATAATTAGTGCTCTGGATTGAGACAAGTACACACTATAGAGGGATACACTCATATTTCATGTCTGAGGTTTATAGCCACTTTAAGGGCTCATTTACACCTGTGGCTGTCATTGATGCCCCTTCGAAAAGTGATCTGCGGTGGATCTTACTGCCTTTTCTAACCCTTGAAAGCCCGCAGCACTGCACCTCAAATGCTTGTTACAAGTGGTTGCAGTGCGGTTTTGGCACAGCCCCATTCAATTAAATGTGTCATGTATGGCGGCAGTGCTACCCTGACAAATGAGACCTGTGGTGCAAATTTTGCAGATCAAATCAACTGCCAATTTTTACTGCCACTTGGCCACAAGTATAAACTTGGGCTAATAACTATAACCCCTATGATTGTAAATTAAATAATGAAAACAAATCGCCAGTCAAATCTGACAGAAAGAAGACTATATGCACTGCTGAACAATCTGACTGCAGAATTCATTGTAAGAAGAATCCCCATGATCAGATTGTGAAGTGAGTAAGCACAATCATTCCCGTTACACTGATACTGCAACAGGCTTTAAAGTGTTACTAAACCCACAACAGTAAAATCAGTCTGCATATGCAGCAAAGCATGCTTATTATTCTCACTGTGGAACCTAAGGGGTTAATCCTCTGCATTGTGTGAAAAGGTTGTTTGATCCCATCTTCTCTGATCCTCCCCTTCCTCTACTGTCCCTAATCCATCTGCTGATAGTACACAGCTCTAGGAGTCACTCTGCACATGCTCACTTTGGTGTGTATTACTAGAGTTTTTTATTTTTCTTGGGAGGGTGCATGTGATCAACACAGGGCCAATCAGCAGTGTCCATACAGAGGGTCAGGGGTCCTGCGGCCTCTTAGAACAATCAGGGGAGAATGAAAACTCCTCCTACAAGCCCTGTTGGATATTGATAAAAGTCGCAAGACTGCTCTAACTGCTGATGAGAAAAGGTATTTAGCAGTTTATATTTACCAAAATAATTGCATTCCATGTTGTGTGTACTGTGGGAGACCAGATATAGTGAATGCAGGGTCCTGAGTTTAGTAACACTTTAAGTATCCTGGATATTTTAATACAATGTTTCCTGTTTGCTGTTTCCTTTGCTTCCAGTGTCGACACAGGGAATGGCTGCACAATCATGCTTATCACAAGTCATTTTCTTTTTTGGCAGACATAAATGAATGTGAGGATCCAGAAAAGGAAAATGCTGGCTGCAGCCAGAGGTGTGTGAATTTTCCTAGTGGATATCGATGTGCGTGTGAAGATGGCTACTATCTCCTGGCGGACAAACACACCTGTAACGGTAACTTCTACCACTCGTCTTGTTCTGACAAACGGTTGGTTGCCTGTCACAGTTCAAGGATTTCAGTGCCTAAGCCATTCCTTCTACATAGCACTACACCACAGACATGCTGGGAGGTTAATTGGCTCCTGTCTAAATTGTCTCTTGTTCTGTCTCTCCAATCTAAGCATTGAAAGTGTGATCTCTATAACTTACAGTTGTGATGAGATAGCGATAACTCCAATCTCAGTTGGATACCACAGTCAGTGACTCAGTCAAGATGATATCTTGTAGATCTTGTGAAGTTTATTCCATAAACTGAGAGAATCTTACAACAATGAACATCTGATAGGTCAAAAGATCATAATGTGCCCTGCTTCATGAGACACAAGGCTTGCTGAAATGCATTACTGGGAAGGGGGTGGGCTATCTATACAGCATTAACTAAACCAGAGGAAAGGGAGGAGCAGAGACAAAATACAGAGAACACTTAAATGCATATGACAGTCATGTGAAACATGACATCCCTAGTATGTATGAATGTGAGTTAGGGACTGTAGATTGTAAGCTCCTTGAGGGCAGGGATGTGTACAATATATATAAGTACCTGTACTAAATAAATAAATAGCACTATACCTAACTGTCATTGTGCATAGACTGACATCATACTTTGAAAAAAAAATGTTTTTTTTTTTAAAAACCCTAAAGCAAAAATGTAATATATTGCAGCTTACTAGTCCTTGGTGTGGTGGCTACTGTGGTTTTCTTTTTTCAAGCTTCTTTTACTATATTTTCACCTGGTAATCCAAGCAAATAACACACTTCCTGCCCCTGGGTGGTTATGTCACTCCTCCACTGCATCTGTGGAGAGAGCTAGGGTTTGTACCCTGCTCTCCTGATATAGACTCCAAACCTTTTCATATATCTTCATCTCTGTTACATTGGTTAGATTACATAACATAGCCATGAAGGAAGATATTCTTCTGTGCAGTTCCCAGGAAGTGACAAGGACACAGTATTTCTGGCAGGATCAACAGTTATTTTTTTTTTTTACTTAAAAAAAAAACAAAACTAAGGCAGGCAGCACACCTGGCACATCTGTAAGCTGCAATATGTTACATTTTTATTCTTGAGTTTGGTTGTTCTTGAATATAACTGAATATTTCAGAGATAGTTGTATATTGTGAATGCTGGAAAATTATATTATGCCAGGTTCACATTTATCTATACAAGCTTTTGTCCATTTTTTTTTTTTTGCATTTTTTAACATCCGTTGTAGTGTGACACACATTTTCATTATGCATTGCAGTGCATTTTTGGTGTGTTATTACACATTTCACTTTTGGTTTAGCCAATGAAGATTGATTTTCTGCAGTGACATTATTGTTGACTGTAAAAGGACTTTAAAAAGGCACATTAAAATACATTAACATGCACCATACTTGTGTTTTCATGTGATGCCATAGACTTCTATTGGCCTCACAGTGCTTGAAATGCATAGAAAAACAGGCATGCCTCATTTTTCTAAATGCAGCGCATAATGTGAACTGCCTCATTGGGTAATGTGTTCCTATGACACATCCATTGTTTTGCATTCTGATGAGCGTGCTAAAATACAGATACCTTACAGCCCATCCAATATTTATAAGGAATATCTACCAAGAAGAGTTCTCTACAAGATGAGAATTGCATAGAGGAAATCCTATAGATTTTAGAAGGAAGGAAATGCCCATAAGTCAGGTTACATGCCATTTCATTCTCTTAGTGGGTGTTCTGTAAGACTCCTGCATACACTATATTGTTCAAAGGTTTGTGGCCACCTGACCATGATCTATATAAACTTGTTGGACATATTGTATTTAACATAACTAGTGGTAGCAGTGCAATGGAAAAAAAGAAATGCTAAAGGAACACAAAATACTATACAGCAAAATACATGTGCTACACATGCAAATAAATCAATAAGTTACATTAGTGAATGTACAGTTCATAAAAACAAATAAAATGCTTCATGCAAGTCCGCCAAAAAAATAAATGAAAAAAGTCCTTCTGATCCACTGAACCACCATGTGATTAAATGAGATTAATTCCACAAGTGCCAAATAAACTTCACTCCAGTGTCACCACGTGCTGCAGAGAAGAACCTCCCTCAATTCAGTGGCACTCACCAGATATCGTGGCGCATCTAACATGATAGGCAATCGTGCTTGTGGTGTCAAATGTAATAAGACTCCTCAATCACTTAGCCCATCAGCAATTGAAGGCTGGTGGAATGGTAGGACATCCTCTAAAAATATTAACTCCGCCACAAGAAAGGGAATAAAGGAAAGCTCATAGCGTGATACAGCTAAAAACTATTTATTATAAAATCAGTAATAAACCCACATAATAAAAGTACAAGCATGCCCAACATCCACAATATCCTCAGAATGTAAGAATGCATCGTATATGTCACTTCTGGGGGGTTGTTGGACATCTTATTTCAAAACCATGGGCATTAAAATAGTCTTGCCGCCCCTTACCCCCCTTTGTTTGTGTAACAGCCTCCACACTTCTATAAGGCTTTCCTCAAGATTTTGAGGTGCTTTTGTGGCAGCATGTTCCCATTCATCCAATGGGAGTTCTAAGGTTCATTTAGAAGACTGGGTTCACAATCTGTAATCCAATTTATCCCAAAGCTGTTTAAAAAAAATTGAGATCAGGGAACTTTGCAGGCCTCTCGTGTTCCCCCACACTTAAAAGTGAAACTAAAGTCATGTTTTAAAAAAAAAAAATAACAAACATGTCATACTTTCCTGCTCTGCGCGGTGGTTTTGCACAGAGCAGCCCGGATCTTCCTCTTCTTGTTTCCACTGCCGGCCCCTCCCTCCTGTCGGGTACCCTCACGGCAAGCGGTTTGCTATAGGGGCACCTGAGCAGGCATGCTTCCAAGCCACGACTCTGCATGTTCATTCACACACAGAGCCGTGGCTTGGCCCTGCCCCTCCCTCTCCTGATTGGCTCACTGACTGTGATTGATAGCAGCAGGAGTCAATGGCTCCCACTGCTGCCCCAGCCGATTAGTAGTGAGGGTCCCCAGAGAACCGAAGCTCTCGTGGACATCGCTGGATCAGGATGGGGATCAGGTAAGTGTTAGGGAGGGATGCACGAAGGTGAAAAACCTTGAGCCTTTACAACTATTTTAACTCATCAGACCGTGTCTTTATGGATCTGACTTTGGAACATAAAAAGCCATTCCCCAATCTGTTGTCACAAGGTTGGAAATGCATGATTGTCAGGTGCAGGAACATTTTTGGCCATATAGTGGACTTACTAATCACACATGACACTATGTTGTCACTCGTTGTAAGTGCAGGAGATCGTTACACTTTCCTAAAACTTAGATTTAGTCACTATTGTAGCACAGAGCTAGGACTGATCTGGCTGTTTGGTCCCAGGTTCTTTTACCTAATAGGCACACAGCAGCCAGGCACACAGTATTCCCAATCACTTGAGTCACAGAGCAGGCTGTGCATGTCTTTTTTTTTGTTAGACAACTGGGATAGGGTGAGTCTAGGAATACTCCAATAAACTTTAACAACTTGCAGTAGAGGACACCTAATCTGAACTATTCCTTCAGGGTGAAGGCATCCCCTTTAAATTGAAGGTAAACTGGTACTAAGCAGGGACTCCTCCGCAGAAGTGTAGTCCTGAATGTACAAAGGGAAAGCTCTCCCAAAAAAGGCCAAAGAAAGACTCTAGGTCCACAGGGCTGGTGCTCACTGTTTCCTGAATACTGTGTAGCTGCATGCAGTATCAGTTAGACCCTGTACTTGGATTGCCTATGTCCTGGATCCTTAGAAGAACTCTCTGCAATCTTCAGAAGGTTAGGCCAATGGTCCCCCAGCCAAAGCACAAGCTGGGACCCCAAAAAGGAATATTTCAGCTGTAGATAAAGGCTGGATCTTACTTCCTAAGGAGAAAGAGAGCTCTGTTCTGGATCCCAGCCTATTTATGCCCCTTTCAGCCCCTTGCTGGTCACTCACTTACCTGACCAAGAATTGGCAGAAGAGGCTTTAATATACAAGCCAGGGTCTGTATTCTTTCACCCATGATGTCCCAATACTCTTTGGGTTACAGGATAAAGCAATTGTACCTGCACAGGTGCTGTCTGGCAGAGACCCATGGTGCAGCGATTCAGCCCCCTTCCCACTCTCCAAATTCCCGGCCTCCTCCGCTCCTGGTACTATCTGCTTAGCGGGGGTGTTAGGCTGGCCAGTGCCTGCAGTGCCAACTCTGGGTTCCCGAACTAGCCAGAAGGGGGCGGCCAGGGGCTACAGGGGGGAACCGTGGTGGCTTGGTCAGAGCTGGCCAGGGAAGGAGAGCCTCCAGTGGTGCACAGAGACAGCATCTGCTCAGACATGGCCAGGGGCGGACTGACCATTTGGAAACTCGGGTACTGCCCGAGGGCCCAGGGTCAGTAGGGGGCCCCATGAGATGCCCCTGGTACCTTTTTCATAGGCTTTTTTGAGTTTGGGCAAGGACACAGGGGCCCCATGATCCCATATTTCCCGGGGGCCCCATGAGTTGTCAGTCCACCCCTGGATATGGCGTACATTATCCATGCTGGGGGAGAGGGCGGCGTGCGCTCTGTCCTTATCTTCATCCCACACTCAGTAGGACAGGCCTTTAGGCATGTTTGAGGCAGAAGCGTTGCAGCCTTTTTACAGGGCAGCAGAGTAGCCAGGGACAATTGCCCCCCTGGCCCAGTCCACACCTGAGCCTGCACCAACAGAACCATACTTAACCAAACAATGAATGCTCTCTCTGGCTAAAGAGATGCCAAACACTAAATTTAAACATTAGTAGCCTAGTGAGTTGCTACAATATAGTGAAGATTTTCCCACAAATGATACTAACTGTTCATTGCCATCCCACTTCAATATCCTGAGAAACTCCATGTTCCCTCATTTTGTCAGACACCCACATTATTTAAGATGACTTGAATGTATTTCATCTCCCCCTCCACAATTCTGCGTTCAATATAAAGTAATGATACATTTATCTCTACTGGCTTTGGTGAAGCCATCCGTCAGTGCCAGCGGAGACCTCATAAAACAATCTCCAGTAACTAAAAAGCTAATTCTGTTCAATAGAGGGAACCAGTCCTTTGTGATTAAGAGCCCAATTCTTCTCTCCAAATCTCCCAAGTCTTCCAGAGCAGCCAAGTATGACACATTTAGTAGTAAATCACTGTAATCAATTGACGTTCATTGCAGAGAATTTGAGGGAGGACACAGCAAACAGGCCTTACATAAATCTTGTATCTTTTATTCTCATCCCTGGGCACTAAGCAGTGATCATCCAGTATATCAGAATACATTTGTGTTCCTCTATTTGTTACCCTGCCTGTCTGCCCTTACATTATTATTTATTTTGTTCTCACCTTCCATTCTCTTGCTGTGTCTTTTTAAAGGAAAACTCTAACACTCTAAAAACATTTTTTTCATTAATAGGCATACAAGGACCAGACTATTTGCATAGTGCTTCTGATATTTATCCTGGCATTCTGTGCACTAGGCTACCCTCTCTGCCAATCCTTTATGATTTTTGATTACCTGGTCCCTGATTGCAATTTGACTGCAAGGAAACAGGGGTAGTTTAAATGTTTTGTTTGAAGGAAGTCTGACTTGACTTTTTGACTTCAACCCATATGCAACCCCTGAGATAAATTTTGACATTTAGGCCTCATTCATATGGGCGTACCTATCTGTACACATGTGCAAAGGGCTGTTTTTGCCTTCACAGGATGCACAGATGTTCCATGCATCCACATGCAAGCAGTCCCATTCATGTTTATTGGGACATGGTAGCTGCATAGACACCACCACTGGTCCCAATTTGACAGCTGTGCAGGTGCATGTCCCCAAACACACACTACTGTATCTGCGTTTGGGGACACACATCCGCAACCACCAAGCTGTTAAATAGGGACCAGCAATTGTGTCTGTGCAGCCGCTAGGTCCCAATAGGCAATAATGGAACTGTCTGCATGCAGATGAACAGAACACCGTGCCTGTGCATGTAGTGTGGGCAAAGACAGCCCATAACAGGGGTGTATGGATAAGCACGTCTGTGTGAATGAGGCCTTAATGTATCTAAACCTTTTTTTGTTTAATTTTGCATAGAGTGTAGAGGGTAAAAACTGCTGTCAACATTTTATTACTGTCTGTGTCTCCACTGGGAGATTCACCCTTTCCTTATGTCTGTGCAGGGCCAGGTCAAGGGATGGGCAGGAGGGGTGGCTGCCCTGGGCACAGCAGTTTATTGTGAGGATGGGGCACCCTGTGCTGAGTTCCTTCTCTTACAAGGCTGGCAGGAGTAGTGACAGCGACATTACTACACCTGTCAGACCAGTGATGAGAGCAGCTGGGAAGAGGTGCTGGTTGCTCACCCCCTAAGCAGATCCCTTAAACTTGCACATAATGACCATGACTGAGGGACATGCAGAATATCAAGGCTAATACTTACCGCCTAATCCATAAAAACCACCACCACCCTTCACCCTCCCCCACCTAAATAACCACACGACTCTCTTTTTTGGTGTAAAACCGGCCATAGCAGCCATTTATATTTAACATAACTCTAACATAACACTTCTTACAGTACACTCAAATAATAACTGACAGTAATGATCCCAACCGGGTCCAAGGTCTTCGAAGGCACTGTTACTGACTTCAATAACTCAGCTGTAGCTGACACTCAATGAAAAGGCCCCCAGCCGCTACTACACCGCCTCGGGGACAATACTACAGCTACGTAGTCCCAGATACAGCCAATGAACTCCCACCTTACCAACGTGACCTTATAATTGTGAAGGAGCACCCATACCTACGATGGGCCCAACCTATAATCCACCAAATTGTCACTCCAGCACCGCCTTCAAAGACCCATCGACCCCTGCCGGCTGTCATGACAAAACAAACAGACAAACACCTCGGGACACAAAATGCCATTCAGGTCAAGAAACCCACACAAAACAAACAACAGGACAAACACAAAGAACAAACCATAACCAAAACAAAACAGCAAAACAAAATGAAACAGCTTCAGGGAGGGAGGGCGGGAGAAACCACACACCCGTGCTGGCACAAGCTCCAACTGACCTCCAACAAGACCCAACCCCCCTCCTAATCCTGGCAAGACCACCCCTCAAGCTTGTGTACTCCAATCAGGTGAGTATCCACCCCCCTACCTCTTGCATATACTCCCACCCAAATGCATGCTCCACCAGTCATGCTGGCCCTCCCTTTTAGCTTTGCTCAGTCCAGGCCCTGACTGTAAGGGGCACAGTCTGGCATCTTTGCCCTGTGTGCTGGATGACTGTGTCCGTGTAATCATTTGGGACAGAATGTAATGAGAAATCACTTTTTCAAATAAACAAAAGGTCAGGGAAAACCACCCGTTTGGTGACATCTGTCACCGAGAGGATTTCTACTTGCTTTGCAGAGATTTCCTCTCTATTCTTTTGTGTCTCTTGGACAAGAAGTGCTAGGAAATATTTTTTTCACCCTTCCTTATGCTATCCAATACAATAAATAAAATTTGGCTTTGGATATACGTTTACTTAAGTTACTGTTCAGTTGTCAAGTTGATCCATTTGGTCTATCGGACTTACAGTCTATGTGTTTCCTGAGTTTGTGTTCTACAGGTAATATGTGTTTGTCTTCAACAGACAGAAATGAATGTGAACTAAGCCCGGTTATCTGTGGAGGGGCGAAATGCCGCAATACACCAGGGAAATATGAATGTGACTGCGACTCTGGTTATCGGTTCAACACTTCCTCCAAGATATGTGAAGGTAAGTCCTTCTTTGTGGCCACCTTGATTTAAAGGAGAAGTAGGATCAAAGTTCTTTTGGCTCTGCTTCTCCTGTGCAAAACTAAGTGTATCCCTGCGACCTGTATTCAGCCAACAGTGGGCTAAAGCCCTTAGCAAATTAAAAAATCAATATGTGTCGTGCTCCACTAACAATATACACAAATCAATAGGTGCAAGACCATATAATGAGTCCTTGATAAATTTCCATAATGTGATATTATCAATCACGCTAGTGCTACATAAATATCTTCACATATCATCAAGTCCTCAGAAAAAATCCTCAAAACAATCCTGATCTTATAGTGTCATATACATCAGGTACAGGGGCGGACTGACCATTTGGAAATTCGGGCACTGCCCGAGGGCCCAGGGTCAGTAGGGGGCCCCATGAGATGCCCCTGGTACCTTTTTACATAGGTTTTTTTGAGTTTAGGCAAGGACACAGGGGCCCCACGATCCCCTATTGCTCAGGGGCCCCATGAGTTGTCAGTCTGCCCCTGATCGGGTGAGAGCACAACCGGTGAAGGAGCACAGCATATATATATATATGCTGTGCTCCTTCACCGATTGTGCTCTCACCTGATGTATATGACCAAACCATTAACTGAGGTCATACAAGCTTGTGTCTCTTTAGTTGGGCTCAGATTTGGACATATGGATAAATCCCTGTATCTCAGATGGATGGATGGAGTTTTTTCCTTTTTTCCAGCAGGGGGTCTTGCCGTTATCAAGAGATCCTTTTCCTCAGTATGGATGGATGGATGGAGTTATCCCTCTTCCCACTAGGGGGTCTCTTAGCTCCTTTCAAACTTTTTCCTCCATATATGTGTATTCCATGTAATTAAAAGAAAATATATAGTGCCTTATCCTCTTTTTTAAAATATTTATTAAATAAATATAATGCTCTCACATCTGAAACAATAAAAAATCACCTTTGATACAATTTTGCTTAGTTTAGTAAGTTTTTCACACTCCCATCTACTTGCTGTATGTTATGCCTTTAAGCGTTGTGATGTCAGAGCCCCTCCCCTACGCGTTACGCCACCGGGTCACGTGGCTTCATCAGGGGAAAATTTATCCATATGTCCAAATCTGAGCCCAATTAAAGGGACACAAGCTTGTATGACCTCACTTAACGGTTTGGTCATATACATCAGGTGAGAGCACAACTGGTGAAGGAGCACAGCATATATATATAAATTTGGTGGACAATATTTTATTTATTTAATTTTCAATATACTATAGAAGACACTATAAGATCATGGATTGTTTTGAGGATTTTTTTCTGAGGACTTGATATGTGAAGATATGTATGCAGCACTAGCGTGATTGATACTATCACGTTATGGAAATTTATTAGGGACTCATAATATTGATTTGTGGATATTGTTAGTGGAGCGCGACACATACTGATTTTTTTAATTTGCTAAAGACACATTGGTATGGGTATGTGTAAGGTGTAGGCAAACCACATATTTAATTTATAATGTTATTTTATATATTAATGTATTAAATTAGTCACATATTTTTTAAAAATAATTATAATTTACTTAATTAAATTTATCAGTTAATTTAAAATACACCATAGTAGCTCACGAGAATCACACATTTTTTTAAAACAGTGGACTAAAGCCCGCTATCGGCTGATGCCACTAAGCCGGTTCAGGAAAGATCTCAACTTTACAGCTGGGATCCACCCAGAGGCCTGACTGACAGCTGGTGCAGCCTCTCAGTGAGCAGCTGAGAGCCTAACCCAGCTGCTCCCACCCCTTGCACAGTCCAGCGAGCATTGGAGGGGCAGAGCAGAGAGTCGATGACTGTCAGTTACTAAAAAACAAGAACTGGGCGATCAGCTGTCTTTGATTGCTCGGTTTTCAGTCTGAGTGGTGGCAGGGGGATAGATACAGCTCTGGACTATTGCTGCACCTACCTAGGCGAGTGTCTATTTTCAACTCCCATACTGCTCTTTTAAAATATGGAAATGCATAAAAACGTTTGATGCAGGATTAATTTTTTTTATTCAGAAAAGCTGTCAGATGATCTCATTAGAGCTCTCATAGAGCATGAATAAACACAGAAGACAGTCTTGGAAGACATGCATTGCATTGATCAACTCCTCACAATCAGATTTCCACATATATTTATTGTTGCTTTGAAGCCAATCTTTTTTTTTTTGGATAGAGTTTTTGCTGTCCGTATCACATCAGGGAGATTTCCCATCACTTCCTGTACAGGAAACATAACAAGACGTAAGATGAGATAAGGGAAGTCTTTCACTCCTTCTTCCATCCTTAGACACTTGACACTGGAACAGGTGCTCCCACTGACAGATTTTTCTTAACCTCTACACAAGCTAGATTTGAAAGTGTCTGGAGCCCTCTGGATCAGATATTTACAATCCTTCATCTGAACCTGGGTAGTGATGGGGTTGTAGGATTTGTCCTGGGTGGAGCAATTTCTTACTTATCTCTACATCCTCTTCCTTTTCTTCCTTTTTTTTTTTCTCTTTTTTTTCATCACAACATGCCAAGAAATTTTTCTACAAATCACATCCAGTAAAAAAAAAGGCATAGGGCCATCTAAAATAAATAAAATGCCTCTGTATTCACAGTGTGTATCTGTATACATTCTTTCATGTATTCTCTCAATCAACATTAACTATTTTTAATCCTTTTGCTGCTATCAGCGGCAAAGAGGTAGGAAGGTTAGATTATATTTACTTGTTTTAAACTTTTTTTTTTTTTTTTTTACATTTCTTCAGTTGCTTCCTAGTTTCTGTCCAAAATAATGTCATACATCCCATGAGTTTTCATGAGGATTTTTTCTTTCATCTGGAGGAGGGGGAGGAGCTTTCTCAGCTAAGCACACCCTCCTGCCTGCCTGCCTGAACTAAGGGTAGATGGATTCCAGGAAGTAAATGCTACATGAATCATCTGCCTCTCCTCAAGATAGCCATGACTAGAAATGTTAGAGGGGTGTTTTTCAAAGTGATTTCTCAACAAAATAAAGCATGAAGACATGGATGGATGGGTAAATTTGCTTTGGATAGTGTTTTTAGTTTATGTTTTACTTTAATACTAATTACATTCCAGCTCTATAGGCTCATCAAATAATATGATAAGCTTAAAGCCAATCTAAGGCTTTGTCTTTTTTAGAAAGTGATTTTCCAACATGCAAGCTGGCATGTTAAATGTCTTAAAATAAACGTAATTTACCTCTTTGTAATCATAAAGGCATCTCAGAAGCTGGATATCTTATGCAGCGTGCTAGACAGTGATTGAGGAGGTGGAAGGAACTGAGTGGGATTTTACATGATTTCCCTGAGCTCATGTAGATATAGAAACTTGCTGTCAACTGAAAGGGCTATTTCCTAGCAGCTATAGCATCAGGGTGACAACACTGCAATGATTTTGCTGCACTAGGGAAAATGTTGTTACCATAAGGAAGGACCTGTAAATAATAAAGTGGATAAAAATGTAAAATGGATCAGTTTGATGTAAGAAAGGTATAAGATGCCACTCAACCAACCCGATCCATGTTAGGTGCAAATGACGACCTCAGCCAGCGCTGCTCCAGTGATCACGCCATCTAACGTGTTTAACCCCGCCCCACTGGGGCTTAGTCATAATGGTCAGTTTGATGTAAGTAATCTTGTCAAGTTGTGTCCATCTTTCAAAAGCCTTGTCTATCTACAGGCCTTTTTTTCCAGTGGGAATGTGGGGGAATGCAGTTCCAGCACTGAATGTATGTAATGGCAAGGAGTGCTGGAGAGACTATTCATGCTGGCTGTTGGGGGATCTGTTGTTGCTGCGGGGGTGATCTCTTGATGATTGAAGGGTCTATTGTTGCTGAAGGGTACATTGTTGCTGGGAGGGATCTCTTTTTGAGTGAGGTGTCTGCTGTTGCTGGCTGCTGAGAGATCTGTTGTTGCTGGTGGGGGTCTATTGTTGCTCAAGTGGGTATGTTGTTTTTATTTATTTATATTTTATTTATTTTAGGTACTTATACAGCGCCGTCAATTTATGCAGCATTTTACATATATATTGTACATTCACATCAGTCCCTAACCCTCAAGGGGCATACAATTTAAGGTCCCTAACTTACATTCATACATACACATACTAGGGACAATTTAGACAGGATCCAATTAACCTACCAGCATGTCTTTGGAGTGTGAGAGGAAACTGGAGTACTCAAAGAAAACACACACAGGCACAGGGAGAACATGCAAACTTCAGGCAGGTGGTGCCGTGGTTGGGATTTGAAGCAATGACCCATGTACTGCCAGGCGGAAGTGCTAACCATTTAGCCAGTGTGCTGGCCATCTTGTTGCTAGGGGTTCTTTTGTTGCTGGCAACAGGGTATTTTTTTACTGCTTTTTATGTTTTCTTTAGTTAATTCAATACAAATTACTTAACATCACAAAATGATATTTATTTATTAATTACAGGTACTTATATACGGCCTTCAATTTAAGCAATTCCATATATATATATATATATAAATATATATATATATATATATATTATAGTACATTCACACATTCACATCAGTCCCTAACCCTCAAGGAGTGTACAATCTTGGTTCTGTATTCACCAAAAGATGTGGCTCTGGTAGGTGGATAGGCAGTGGAATCAAAGGATGGATGATGCTTGTAGGTGGGTAGGGAGTGGAGACAAGGGGTGACTCAGAAGAGGCGAGTTCCTGCACCTATTCTCTGAGAAAAAAAAAAAACCCTGTTTTTGTTTGTAGTTTGTAATGATATTTTCAAGGAGATGTCCATATTTGTTCATTACACATGTAGATTCGGCTTCCTGCTATGTGGTTCTACACAGTAGTTATGTCATATTAGGGGTTGATTTCCTAAACTAATATAGTGTGTGTAACCAGTTTCAGGCCAGTTCATTCTGCAATTCAGGGACATCTACTGCACAGACTGAGAATTCCTTTCTTCCTCTCTAGTCTTCAGCGCAGAGTAAATATACTTTCCAGCTGACAGACTGGGAAGTGTGTCTGAGAAGCAGAGGGTCTTGGGACTTGGGACATCATGGGGAGGCAGATATATTCCCCTGCAGCAACCGTGCTGGAGGCTTGGCGAGGGGAATTGGAGGCTGACAGAGGGAAGAGTGTCTTTTTCCCTTTTAAGACCAAGCCACGGCTCCACCGTCCAGCACAGTAAGCCTTTTCAGCAGTCCAGCATCAGCCAGCACTATGGGACGACTCTCAATGTTCCAGGGACTGCAGTAATCTCCAGAAATAGGATTGACCACTGCTGAGGCATCACTACCCACTGTCTTGATCGGTTGTCAGGAGGCAATCCCAAACCACTTTACTCTGCCAGGATCCTGACCCTCCACAGTGGATTTCAGTTGTGTCATCTTCCAGGGGTCTCGTGAGTGGGTGCAAGCCCAACATTCTCCCTGATACAGTATAGCCACTGCAAACAGACACCGTTATCCCCCTTTTTTACCTACATAAAGGTTTCAGTTGGGGAATACCTTTTGCTATCCCATTCACACTGCTAGTTGCCATTGCACAGTGATACCTTTGTGCCCCACTATAAGCTAGCTGAAGTCCAAGGACACATTTACCTCCAGGATTTCTCCATTCCAAGGATTCAGTCCCCAGAGTTTGTCACTGTCTTTTTTTTTTAATTGATGACATAGCACTTGATTACCTTAAGATGAAACTCCTACTTAGGTTTCATAGGTTTTGCTTTATTGGTTTCTTTGCCTGTAGCAGCAGGACTTAGAGGAAGCTGATTGATTAAGGGTCTCCTCTTCCCCCTCTTGTTTCTGGACTCATAAGTTTATTTAGGGTTGGTTGGTCCTGTATTTAGGCATATTGATACCATCATTTCTACTGTATATCTTTGTGACTTTGATGCTATATTTTGAAAGTTGGGGAATACCCACAACTAACCTCTTTTTTTTTTTATCTTCTGCTGACTTAATAATCTCTAGTAAAGCATTATCTTGTAAAGTTATTCTTTTGAGAATCTCTTGCACTTGTGTTTGCAATATTCCTATTCAACCAGGTGTGTCAGGGGGGTAAGAGATTCTTGGAGTTGAGGCGCAGAACAGAGAACCCAAATTAATCAGCAGCACCTTTTGTGGGTGGCGCTTCATGTGTTTACTTAGCAAAGCTAATTTTATTTATTTTTTATAGGTACATATAGCGACAACAATTTATGTAGCGCTTTACATATGTATTGTGCATTCACTTCAGTTCCTTACCCTCAAGGGGCATACAGTCTAAAGTCCCTAACTTGCATTCATTCTTACATATACTAGGACCAATAAAGACAGGATCTAATTGACCTACCAACATGTTCTGGGAGTGTGGGAGGAAACCGGAGTACCAGGAGGAAACCCACGCAGGCACAGGGAGAACATGAAAACCCTAGGCAGGTGGTGCCGTGGTTGGGATTTGAACCAATTACCTTAGTACTGCCACTGTTCACTTAGCCTTGTAAATAAGCTGTCTGTGTTTACTTTGAATCACACCCATGCACAGGAAATTAAAAGAACAAGCTTTTCACTTGCACATGATTGGATGATTAAAATGAACACAGCTTCACCTTATTCAGTTAGCTTAGCTTGATAAGGGAGCGCGCTTCCGCCCTTAGAGGTCTAGCGCATGCTCCGAAACGCGTCACTATGCATGCTGGTCCATGTACGTCATCACGCTGATGCCGACGTCGCGCCTCAACATAGGTTCCAGACGCCATCTTTAGGAGACTCCACATGCCGGCCGGCTTCTCTCCTACATCCACGATCCTCTGAGTGCAGATGCGGCTGTCAAAGCAAGGATACAGCCATTCCCCCATCTTCTTGAGCCTGCTTTATACATACTATATGTGAGTTGTTCTACATTTGTTACTCATTAAAGTTACCTATACTGCACTTAGAGGCGCTTCTGCTCTTCTCACCTTATTCAGTGAGCTAAGGGAGCATGCATTTTTCTAAATGATAAATCTCAATTCCTTTAGTAAATCGACCCCTATATTTTTCCATTTGAGGGAAGCGAATATTCACTGGCTCCTAAATTCTGCTACAATCAGTTCACTCCTACATAACTCACTAGTTTTCTTTTTAATTTGCAGATGTAGATGAATGTGCAGATGACATCTGTAGTCAAATGTGTGTTAACATGCCTGGAAGTTACAAATGTTACTGTGAAGGAAGGAAGAAGTTTAAGCTTTCGGAGGACAAGAAAAATTGTGAAGTGAGTACCCTGTTATGCTTTTCAGCTAAATCCAATAGGTTTACCCCTCCCTAAAGCAGAGATTCCTAAAACTGCATGTGAGGGCAGATACTGAAGACCGTCTAGGGTTAGACCCAGGTCCAAATTTAATCAATTCTTGTAAATATGTTCAAAAATAGACGGGCAGTTTCAATGTAACTATCATAGCTAGGCAAAGTGGGACTGATTCACTCTGGCTGTTCATTTTTCAATGGAAGTTACACTTTGCAAGAACATTTTCTTAATGAATGAGGTGAAGCTGTATTGACTTCCAACATCCAATCATGTTTATGAAAAAAAATCTGTTTTTGTTACAGTATTTTCCTTGCACGTGACTAGGTAGTCTTTGCAAAGTGAACTTCACCATATTCACTAAGTTCTCTGGATCGAATTGCTTTGCAAAGTGCAACTTCCCCTACAAAGTGAACAGCCTATTTACCTTTAGTAAATCAACCTCAGCGTTTCCAAAAGTATATAAATCAATCAATATATAGTTTTTATACAGTATGTGATCAAGAAAAAATATATATATAAAAAATTGTACTAAAGGTTGTGGTCCATGTATTACTACTTGTCACCACACAATGCAAATACAGGTCATATTTTGTTTTTTTCTCTCAGCAAAAGGTTCCCTTTGAAGAATATCTGGGCTTGTTTAAAGGACAAGTACAGGAAGAACAGTTTAATTAATTAATTGTGGACCAGTACAAAAAGTGGGCAGAAGGGTTAGATCTGGGAATGAGGCCACAAAGCTATGTCCCATATACTACATCACGTCCTCCAGGTTTCTCCCCAGAGATCCCAGAGCTGCTGACAAGTTCTGTGCTTATAATCACACTGGAAGAAACACCATTAAAGGACCAGTTCACTACTATTCTATTGATTGTATATTTGTTTCAATTTCAAGCCCTGATAAAGTGGGCAGTTTTTGTACCCTCAAAATGTGTTGGATGCTCTTTTTCGATTATCTCTTTGACCCTTATTGGAATAAAGCCATGTCTGGACCTTTTAGCAGTGATATGGTGCTTCAATTTAGATTTGTGTTATATTTCCTTTATTAAATTAGCCCAGAGAGTTATAATAATGTGCAAAGTGCAATGACAATAGGAATCAGATTCCATCTTTCATCACTTTACAGCAGCGAGCACAATATCGTTTGTAGCTGATATGGGTTTCTGGGCTCCATTCACAAAAACATCTTGTATGCGGTATTTAGGTGTCTGGACACATTTTCCCTAAATATTGAATGCGATCCTAAAACTGTCAGTTCACTGTATTGTTTTGTGATATTTAGCACAAATGCTTGTTAAATACTGCACAAAAAGGCGTTAAACTCAATTCACAGAAGTAAATAATTAAATGCACACAGTAATTCAGCAGTGGTCCAGGCATGCGGTATTTAAGGAGTGTAACAATATAATAGCCAATTTGAGTAGTTTCTGTCTTTTTGGTTTTCTCAACAGTACTGCATAGAAACCTAAATATGGAAATTATTAAGGTTGATTTACTAAAGGAAATATTTTTTTTAGTTTTGGATAGAGAGGAGGTGGATTAGGACACCGGATCTTACTGTTGTCTGTGCCCCCATTAGATTTACCCTCTGTATTTGTCCTGTTTACCATTATCAGTGAAAGTGAAAGCAAAAGACAATCCCAAATGTTGGGTTGTCCCCAGAACAGTAACAGAGAGGAAATCTTCCAATAGGGACACAGATGGCAAAGAAAATAAAAAAAAAACTGACAGGGGTTATAACCCTCCATTACTCTATCCAAAATGAATGAATATAGTATCAAAAATCACACACACATATAAATACCCTTCTTCCACCAATAAAAAATAAACATTGTATTTTTTATTGGTGGAAGAAGGGTATTTTTATGTGTGTAATCTTTGATACGATTTTCATTCAATATTTACAAAGATATTTTGTATTTACCTAATTTAATTTAGTTGTTTTTGATACACTACGTCTTCCCTTTGAAAGCAGCTTCCCTGATCTAGTGAATTGGCATCTTTCTACGGTTTAAACCATTTTATCTCTTTATTAGTAATAAAACCTGACAGGGGTTCTAATCCTTCTCTACCTCATCCATCCCACTAGATATCATATGAGATAAAATACTGCATGGTTTCATGAGAAAAAAACTGCATATTTCTGAAAAATACCGTATGTGGTGTTGTAGTAGCGTTTTTTTCTTTTTGCGAATGTTAAAAAAAGTTTGAAAAATGCTGAGCGGTATTTTACCCCATTTCTTAAAGTGGATGATACTGCTTCATGAATGGAGCCCATTATCTTTACTTTATTAAAGTGATTGTAAAGTCTTTAATGTTATTATTTTTTACAACAAGCTATACTTGCAAAGAGCAGACCTGAGCCTGCTCTTCTTGGGTCCCCTGACGCCACTCCAGGCTCCTCCTCTTTTTGGTGTGACACCATAGAAAGCTGCTTCTTACTGTGCCACACCTGTGTGCACAATGTCAAGCCATGCTGCCTGCGTCCATTGACACAAACAGCGAGGCTTGGCCCTACGCTCCATCGTCACAAGATTTAAATGACAGCAGCAGGAACCAATGGCTCCCATTGCCCTCAGCAAAGCCTGTTAGAGTGGGGAGAAGAGGAAAATGTCTCTGCTCTCATGCACAGTGCTGAATCAAGATCGGGCTCAGGTAAGTATTGGGGGACCTAAGGGGCAATACTTTAACCCAGGGGAGCTCAACCTATGACCACATGTGGCCCTCGGACCCTTCTGTCAACCACTTATCTGTCCCTCGGTCCAGTGGTGTCCTCACCAACGCTGGTTTCACCAGCCGTCCTCTGTTCCTGGTGCCGGCATCTTTAGTGTGGGCACCCGTCAGTGACAGCTTGCAGCTTCTCAGCCAGGTGTACACTGCGTATGCATGAGAAGCGCTGCGCTTTGTGAATGGCCCCGTAGTCTTTCGGGACCTGTCATGTGTCCCAGAAGACTACAGGAGGGGGGGGGGACAACTTCCGCTTCCAAATGCCAAGGTGATCGTAGCGGAAGTGGGATTGGGTACCTGTCAAATTCAGCTCCCAAAAGTGCCAATCCTTAATGGGGAGCAGTAAACAAAGGTTTACAGCGGGACTTTCCCTTTTAGGTGGAGCTCTGCTTTAAGTTGCCCTTGCTCATCAAAAGGTTGAGCACCCATGCTTTAACTTAAACCTTTTTTTTACCGTAATGCAAGGAATGCATTAAGTTAACAAATGTTTAGGCTTTAGAACCACTTTAAATCAACAAAATATGTAGAGATATAACTCGATAGGGCAGCTTACACACTGCACTTATCTGTTCACTGCAATACAATCCACTGTGTATCACCCTTCCTGCAATATAGAGGACAGGCGGATGGATTGGGCTAATAATCTCCCTACCTCCTCTTCTCACACAGCCTTCAGTAAAGTGTCATTGCAATGTGTCATCATGCATCAAATGTTCTCCCTGCCACAGCCAGTTAACTCTTCCACCCAGCCATTCATTCCCTCATCTCTTGGACTGGGAAGCAAATTAGTAACATCATTTCCTGAGTAATGACCCTGACTGCCAGGGGTCATTGACCACACTGCAACACATCGCTGCAGGCCATTGTCAGTTATTGAGGTCTTCATGAGATGCTGAAGCTATTCATCTAAATAGAAGTCACAGTTACAGGTGTTACTTGGAGTGAGAAATGTAACAACAGGTCACTGAGGGGGATTCTTAATTTGCTGGAGGTCCTAACTGAGTGATTGGCGGAGTGCACATTGCATTGCTTGAGGCTGTTCAGTATTGCCAGCTGCTGGAACAAAGAGGTATGTTCATGAATCATTAGGTGCTCCCTTAGTGACCTTATAAACGTCTTCTGATTACATTTCTTCTCAAAGAGGAACTTAAACTAGGAATTTTTATTTGTTTCAGACAGAGTGGGGAAAGATCAGAATCTCTGTTAGACCTCCCCTCACGTCCTGTCCTGGTGACAAAACAGGAGTTAAAGGGAAATTCCCAATATTATTACTATTATTATACAGGATTTATATAGCGCCAACAGTTTGCTCAGTGCTTTACAATATAAAGGGAGACAATACAGCAACAATACAGTTCAATACAAGAGGGTTAAGAGTGCCTGATCCTGGGAGCTTACAATCTAGCTTGATACAGAAATAAAAACCTGCCAAAGGTTCTGCAATACTGCAAATTTAGTACAATATACAGGTGAAACTCGAAAAATTTGAATATCATGCAAAAGTTCATTTATTTCAGTAATGCAACTTAAAAGGTGAAACTAATATATGAGATAGACTCATTACATGCAAAGCAAGATAGTTCAAGCTGTGATTTGTCATAATTGTGATGATTATGGTTTACAGCTCATGAAAACCCCCAAATCCACAGTCTCAGAAAATTAGAATATTGTGAAAAGGTTCAATATTCTAGGATCAAAGTGTCCCACTCTAATCAGCTAATTAAGCCATAACACCTGCAAAGGGTTCCTGAGCCTTTAAATGGTCTCTCAGTCTGGTTCACAATCATGGGAAAGACTGCTGACCTGACAGTTGTGCAGAAAACCATCATTGACAACCTCTATAAGGAGGGAAAGCCTCAAAAGGTAATTGCAAAAGAAGTTGGATGTTCCCAAAGTGCTGTATCAAAGCACATTAATAGGAAGTTATGTGGAAGGGAAAAGTGTGGAAGAAAAAGATTCTGGAGCACTTCATGTTTCCTTCCGCAGATGAGCTTTATGGGGATGCTGACTTCATTTTCCAGCAGGACTTGGCACCTGCCCACACTGCCAAAAGCACAAAAACCTGGTTCAATGACCGTGGGATTACTGTGCTTGATTGGCTAGCAAACTCACCTGACCTGAACCCCATAGAGAATCTATGCGGCATTGCCAAGAGAAAGATGAGAGACATGAGACCGAACAATGCAGAAGAGCTGGAGGCCGCTATTGAAGCATCCTGGTCTTCCATAACACCTCAGCAGTGC